GGTGAGATTGTAGGATTTTAGTTGCTTGTTACTGAGCACGAAGTCTGTGGATGCAGCTCGATAGCCAGTCAAGCTAGCTGATAGCATAGCACTTGAACCTCTCGTGCTCTAATTGCACTAACATGGCAGCCACACTACTAATGTTGAGACTCAACTCCGTCTCTTGGTTTTTTGTGGTTTCCTAGGATTTATTAGTACAATAGCAGACCCAAAAGTAGAAGCACCGTAAGTGTTTCTACTGCTTTCCTAAGTTTAGAAGTTTATCGGAGCTCCCCGTGAAGAAATAAGAGGCCCGTGTGTGCGTGAGGAGACGCTGACCTTCTTCTCCTGAGCATATCACACTGGCAGAGGTCACATTTTCATCATGTTTTCCACTCTTGGCGTTGGAGCGTCTGCTGCAGCAGATTAATCATCACACAGTGAGCTCTCGACTCGGCGCTCGCTGCTCATCTGTGTCCGTGAGCTTCGTACAGGCGCCCTGAGACACCCGGGGAGAATTACAGACGGCTTCATTCCTCAGCTGCTGCCAAGCAGAACGATGGAAGGGCCGCTTTCCCTTTCTCCACGCTGTAATCACTCACACACACACACACACACACACACACACACACACACACACACACACACACACACACACACACACACACTCACACAGTCAGGCGCTCCAACTGTTTAAATCTGCCTGTCGGTTAATTAAAACGAGAAGTGACTGAAGCTATTAGAGCAAATGAATGACGAGACTGTGTGTGTGTGTGTGTGTGTGTGTGTGTGTGTGTGTGTGTGTGTGTGTGTGTGTGTGTGAGAAACGCAGGCAGGTCAGTGTGTTTTTTCACACCACTACAGATTATTAATCTGGTTAAAGAGAGCTGATGAAGTGTAACTGACGTGGACTCACAGACTCACAAACACACACACACTCTCTCCAGAGCTGTATTTGTGTGTGTGTGCGTTTTGTCTGCCTGTTTTGTGAGGACCATGGTTAGATCTAGACCTTATAAGGACATCAGACCTACAAGTGTCCGTTTGAAGGTTCAGATCACAGACTGTAAGAACAGTTTTTCACTTTGAAGCCTGAACTTTGGATGATTTATTCATCCTTCAGTCTGCAGGTCGACGATCCTTTAGAAAAACAATATTTAAGATTGTATGGACGATTCTTTCTTCTTTCTTTGTCTTAAAGCTGTGCGATCAGAGGTTTTAATAGTTAGTGTGGACCGTCCCCCACACCTCTAAAGCTAACACTCATTTTACCTCGTACGCCACTTTAATCGTAAATGGCCCAGTGCAGCTTTAATCCTGGAAATACAAGTATAATATGTGTTTTTCCCCATGATAGAGAAATTCTGCTGTAGTAAATGACAGAAACCTAAAGTGTAAGAAATGAGTGTGTCAGCAGTTCTGTAGCTCATTACTGTCATTATAAAACTGAAAGGTCTTTTACTTAATTTACTGTGGACCCATTGCATTAAAAAAAAATAAAAATATTTCTTTCTGATCTCTTTTAGGGCTGTTCGATATAACGATATATCCGATGACATTCACATTACGCTATCGTTTGTTTCGTGGTGTCGCAAATGTGCATTTTTTGTATATTTTTTTCATCGTTTTATATGAAAAAAATACAAAACAACATCTTGTTTTTATTTGTATTTATTTCTTAGGGTTCTCTCTTTCTCTCATATTTAATATAAACACACTGCGGCCGGCAAGCGACTGTTTTTATGCGTTGACGGTAAAACCATCGCGTGGCTCCTGCGTCTGCTTGTTTATTTTCCACATAAACCTTTTCACAATAAAGCTCAAGATCCTGTTGAAATTTGTCTGCTAGGCTTCATCTTAGCTGGTACCTGAACTGGACCCCTGGACTGTTTGTGGGCTCTTGGAGGCTTATAAACATTTCTAATGCAGTTATCTGACCAATGATATGGCTGCAGTGTGGTTAATGCTGAAATTATAGGATTTTATTTGCTTGTTGCTGAGCACTTTGGCCTAAGAGGCTGTTGAAATTTAAAAAACTAAACTGAATCAAGTGAAAGAGTACACAGAGTGTTTACAGATGAAAAGCAAAAAAAATAAACCTTAGACTCGAAACTTTTCCCCGCAGCTCGGGGGTAATTAATAAATAATACATACTCACAAAGAAAATGTCTAAAAATGTATAGTTTCATTCATCGGTCAAAACAACTAACTCCAGGTGCACGACCTGCAAAAAAAAAAAGTGAAATCCAGAGATTCACAGAATTTACAGAAAATGTAAACAATGTGTGATATATATCGTTGCCGGGACGATAAATGTCTTATATCGGGATATGAGCTTTTGGTCGTATCGCACAGGCCTAATTTCTTTGTTGGTCTGTTACTTGGTTACTTTGGTGTAGTGTTATTAGCAGAGACAGGGAGAACTTTATTAGTTACACAAAGTGTGAAACGTGAAAATACAGTTAAAGGTCTAAACGTTAATCTAGTGCAGTCCAGCAGGCCAGATTGGAGCTTTACAAGGCCCGTTTCTGGCCCCTGGGCCTTATGTTTGACAGCCCTGGTCTGCACAAGATGCAACCTTTTTTTAACCGTATGCCCTTTGTAAATAAGAATATTATAGTCTGGATGAAGCCAAGTCAAAACAAAGTTATTATATTTTTTTCGGCACAGCGTTCCTACACGACTGACAAATGTCCTCCGTGGTTTGAATAAAGTAACTGTGAGAACTAATCTTTTAAAAAAGCAAATCTGTAATAATAGCAAAGGCCAGTTTCCATAATATTGGATTTTATAAGCCTAAACACTCCAGCCTAACAAAAGTCATCGTGTGGGATTTATGTTATTTTGAAAGCATTCATCCATCACAGCCAATAGCTGCAAGCGACACAGACACTAAACAGGAAGTGAGCCACATAAAAATGTAAAAAATGTCAGTCGGGCCTCAAATGTTTCCACGCGCCTCCGCCCGCCTCACTAAGCCGTCACGATGATTTTATTGATGTATTTGTATTATTTTGAAAGCACCTGGATGTCACAGTCAGCAGAAATGAACAAAGGTGCGTATTAAACAAGCGCTGCTAAAGAGGAAGTGAGATCACATCTCAGAAAACGCCCCCATCAGTGCTTCCAGCTGTGCTCGTGACACGCTAAATTTAAGCTTGCAGCAGAGCGGCGCGCTGATTTATGCAGAACTACAGCACCAAGACGTTTACGTTGTTTGGATGTAGGCAGTAACATCAAAGCCTAAGCTGAGGCCTGTCATATTAAAGGTGGGGGAACACCACCCTCCCGTGTAAATGAGTCCTGCAGCAGTGAAACCAGCACGCTTAGATTTATCGCTCTCTTTCTGCGGCTCTGAGCTCTGACTGAAAACAGAAATCCTCAGAAAACAGCAGCATTAATGTTGTATTTGTATGGGACTACTTTCTGCAGAGGACTGATATGAACGTATGGTGGTTGTGGAGGTCTAAGAGGCTTAGGAAGAGGGGAAAAGTGTGAGAAACGTCTGCATTTTTCACCGTGTGTGTCAGGGTTAAGCCTCCTGAGCCTCTCTCCTCCAACGCTGATTACACACCATCACTCACGGCAGATATTACACATGTGCAGGCATGCTTCGAATGTGTGTTTGTCGGGGTGTAGCCTGGTCTTCTTCACCTGTCCTCCTTCCTCCACAGAGACACGCAGAGGGAGAAAGAAGCCCTTGTGTTGTATGACCGTCTGTGTTTTTACTTTCCCTGATTGAAGCCGCTGAAAGACCTCCTGTGGGTCGTCTGGCTGAACCTGCTGACTTCCAGTGAAAAATCTAAAACAGCTCATATCAGAGCGCCGCCTTCAGCTGATCTGGTTCTGTTGCTCCGTCTGAGGCCACCGAGCGGTTCTGATGGTTTCAGGGGTTTGTTGAGCTTCCAGTGGTTGTGGACGCGAGTGCACAAGTTCACGCGGTTTTCCAAACGCTTTTTCAAAAGCTTTCAGAGACACCTAGGTGTTTTCAAAAGAGGTCGTAAAAGACGTGATTTTTAAAAAAGACTTTAAGGAGCTCTGGACACGTGGGATGTTTTCAAAGGGGCATTTTAGTAAAATTGAAGAGTTTTTGCATTAAATACAAGTGTGTTGGAGGCATCTGAGTGGCTGAGAGGCTTTGAGACACCTTGACTGATGATTTGAAGGCTTCAGGCTGACTTTTAGGAGGTTTTAAGCTTTATAAGGTTGGAAGAAGCTGTTTTACAGGTGGTTTGAAGAGCATTTAGGAGAACTTTGGAGGAATTTCTAGGGAATTTAGGGGCCTTTTTAGAGGTTTTGAAAAACTTATAGGAGGCTGCTGGGACCATTGAGTCTGAAAAGATTCCCAAGTGGCATCACTGCTGTTTGAGGAACTTGTTGATAACCTCGAGGGGTTTTACAGATAACTTTAATGCAGTTTCAAAACATTATATTTTATTTTTAAGAGGAATCGAGGGACCTTTAACACATCTAGGCTTCAAAGAACCATCAGGAGGTTGTTGTGTTCTTACATTACCAGTTTGTTGTGGTCATTTGGGCGACTGTTAAGAGGCTTTTTGAGATCTTTAGAAGGTTGTGGGGGTCCATTGGGAGTCTCATGACTTGAAGGTATGTTGAGGACCTTAGGAGGGTCTTTTAAAAGGTTTTAAGCAAACTTTTAAGAGGTTTTAAATAACATTTGCAGCTGTTTTAAGAGGTTTGGAAACACTTCTAGGAGGCTGCTGGGATCTTTAAAACGGTCCAAGAAGTCTCGAAAGGTCCCAAGTGACGTCAGTGCTGCTTGAGGACGTTGCTGACAAACTCAAGGAGGGTGTTTGAGGAATGTTTTAAGGGGCACAAGCAAGCATGTCGTTGGAGCATTTGAGGGGAGTGTGGTGACTTGCCTGTAGAGGACTACGTCGAGGTTTTAAAGGAGTGCTCAGTAGGTTTGCTGAAGACCTGCAGTGGGATGAACTTTGGGTGATTTTTAGAGGATGTTTTATTTGCCCAGGACTTGCTGACTGTTGCTGTCTGTGTTTCAGATGTGCTGATGAACACCAAGCTGGCCACATCTGACCTAAGATGGACGAGCTACCCTGCTGATGACTCGCAGGTACACATCAAAGCTAATCTGTTAGCTTATAGCTAACACTCTGCATTGCTTTGAATGAAAAGCTCACCTATGATCCGTCTCTGTCCTCAGTGGGAGGAAGCGAGCTCGAGGGACGATCAGCAAAACACTGTGCGGACCTATGAGATCTGCACCATCACTAGCACTTCTTCCTATTGGCTGAGGACGCGCTGGATCCCTCTGAAGGCGGCGACCACGGTCTACGTGGAGATCTGGTTGGTGGACATCACAGGTCGTTTGATGTTGATTAACGCGGAGAAACGAATATAAGCTCTGAACGTGTCGACGCAGGTTTTCCATGATGGAGTGTTCCAGTCTGAGGCAGCCGTGTAAAGAGACCTTCAACCTGTACTACTACCCGTCAGAGGCTGACGACGCCACGCTCACCAGCCCGGCCTGGATGGAGAACCCTTACATCAAAGTGGCGACAGTCGCCGCCGACCACCTGATGCTGCGTGACGCCAGGGGCCGCCCTAATGTCAAGGTGCTGCGGCTGGAAGGACTGCGTAAGGCGGGGCTTTACCTGGCCTTCCAAAGCCAGAGCGCCTGCATGGCGTTGCTCTCTGTGCGTGTGTTCTACAGGAAGTGCCCGCCCCTGCGCCGCGCCTTCGCCTCTTTTCCTGAAACCGTCCCCCACTCGCTGGTGGAACAGGTAACCATAGCAACAGTGGAGTCTAGCGTTCTTGTACATAACAAGCTCACCTTTGAGTTTAAAAATAAAAGCACTGTAACTGAAGCTTTTGTGTCTACGAGCTTTTATTTTGACATTCTGCTGCAGGCTCAGGGTGTGTGCGTGGAGAATGCCGTGACGCCGCCTGGCGAGCAGTCACAACCTCCCAGCATGCTTTGTGGTGAAGACGGGGAGTGGGTAGGACAGCCGACGTCCAGCTGCGCCTGTCGTCCTGGATACGAAGCAGGAGAGACCGACGTACGCTGCAGAGGTGAGAGTGCAGTCCATAAAACAAAAGACCTCCTGTTAGTTTTCAAAGTAAAAGCGTCATCACTGAGATGGAACGAATGAATCCGGCACATTCGAAGGCCCGAGCCGAGACCTCGGGTTCACCGTCACGACTTGAACTCACTAACAGCTCCGACCATCATTTGTTTTACAAAGTAAAAGCTTCTCCTGTGCGCCGCTTCATTATCAGCACTTAAAATTCTTCGTGGTCAGAACTGCGAGTCCGAGTAAACAGAGAGGAGAAGCTGGAGGCGATTAGAGGGAGAGAGAGCGACGTGTTGACAGTGTGAGAGCGAGCAGAGCAGGGGCCCCAAAGTAAAGCAGGATAAAACTCAGCAGTAATCAGATTACTCTCAGTGTTACAGCTTTACTCAGTAAACACTTTAAATCTGAGGGAAATGGAAACATAAGAAAGTGTTTCTCTTCCCCACCATGAGCTCAGATCACAACGTTTGTTTACATATAACCAGATTATAACCAGATTACAGTCGTTGTCTTACGGCGTGTAAGAGGATTCCTGAAACGTATCAGTAAACAAGGATTACTGTTTCTGTAATCAGCACAGGCATCAGAGGAAGCCGTCACTTCCACAATAAGACCGCAATTGTTTGACAATAGACATCACACTGCTGCCAAACATTACATTTTGTAATGTTTTTATTTATGATTGTTATTAAAGTTATAATGAGAAGCAAACTGATCTTAAGATTAAAAAGAGTCAAAGATTTATAGACAAACAATCTGAAATAAAAAAGCTTTAATTGTTTATATTTTGGTATAACTGTACCTGACTGTCTGACTGTGATACAATATTATTATTATTATTAGTAATATTAGTCCTACAAATCTTATTAAAGTCAAAATAGTCACAATACAGAAGTTAAATCACTTAAATTACAAAAGGTTTTGAAGAAAAAAGTAAAATGGTGTTGATGGAGTTTACAATAAAGTTTGTTTAATATTGTAACAAAACAGACAAATCTGTTGTGTATTAGTACGTTAATTGTTTCAGCAAATCAGCAGTTTTATTAAAACTTGCAACATGTTGAAAAATAACTGTCAACAGTTACAAATAAATGAATGTCTCAGTTCATCAAGGTGATTACAAACAGCTGTTGTGTTTTTATACGAAATTCAACTGAATTTCTAAAACTAAATTGTATTTATTAACAAAATTAGTAGAAAGTGAGTTTTTAAAAGTGTAAACGTAATATTTTTATGAAAAACATCCAAAAAATGAAAATGTATTATTTAAAGAAACTTCTGTTTTAAAGTTATAACGAGTCAAATGTTAAAGTCCTTTAATTAAGAAACATGTAGATTTAATTTAATGTTATAAAAACATTTGTTGCGTTTGAACTGAATATAATGAAAATAAGATGTGAGATTTTAGAGAAAAAGAGTTGAAAATATGTAGGAAACTTTGACCGAGATTAAAGAAAAGAAATGACCATTTCTCTGATTCTATCCTGAAAGTCAATGTTTAAAACGGTTTGTTAAAAAACAGGCACACTTAGGACACTGTTAACAGTAACTATAGTAACTATTGTTAAGTAAATGACAGGAAGCGGTGTGGGTCACAGTAGAGGAGTGGCTGTGTCAACAAGTGTTCAGCTTCTTACAGTGAGTTTATAATCCACTTTTCACACACAGTCACAAACTGCTGCGCAGTGACTAAAATCACAGTCTGTGCAAACGAAATATGGTTCATGCTGTTATTCATGAAGCTTCACACCAGCTGAAAAACAGAGAAGCACGTGATTATTTGTCATTAAGATGTTCCTTTATTTACTTTTCAAACGTAGCTGAAAATTCTGTTACTTTTAGGTTTAAAGTTGAAAGTTTTAGGAGATTTCTAAAATAGTTGTGTTACACTTTGATAAATTGTTGTTAAAGTATTCGGGGAGTCTCGCGCCGTGCCGGCTCCTTCACGCCGCTCAGGCGTCCTTTCAGAATAAGACTGGCGGTGTGGGGGATGGTGGAGGCCTGAAGGAGAAAGTTATTATTGAGCTGTCGTTGAAGTCGTGTGCAGCTGTTTACTTTAATGAGTAAGTGAGAGGGGTTGTGGGTAAACTGCAGGAGCAGCTGCTGCGGTGTTTCTCTGGAGGAAACGCGCTGTAATCGGAGTCCGTCCTGCCTCCGCGCTCGCCGCACGTTTCCGTCCTGTTTCCACGCTTCCTCTCCTCTCCGCCATCGCCGCGGGATGAAAGCAGAGCGAGGTCGACGCGGGCCGCAGACGGCTTGGTTGTCCAAGTTTCCTGTTATTCTGTGTGAGGTCAAAGGTCAGCTGACTGCGAGCGGGAAGCGCTGCAGCGGCGACAGCAGAAGCAGCGACGTCCTCTGCTTGTCTCTGCTTCTGAGGGAGGGGGAGGGGCAAGAGCCAGGCTGAGTGAAGAGGTCAGAGGTTAACTAGCGCTGCTTAAGCAGAGTGTGTGCATGTGTGTGTGCTTACTCCCGTGCTTGGCAGGGGAGGCCAGTGATGACATCATGGCAGCACTTTCCACATCCTGTTGAAGCCAAGGTCACTTCCTGTCTCTTATTGTCTGTGAGTCTGCACTCCTCCCTTCATCCCTTCATCCCTCTGCGGTGTTCCTGATCCCAGCTCTGAGCATTACTCACATTCCAGGCCACAAACCCACAGAGCCAAACCTCTCTGCTTTCACTCTCTGCTCTTTTTAACATAATCATGTGTTCATTCTTTAATATTTCCTATAAATGAACCATTTTTAGTTTCCAACCATTTTTAAACCTCAGTGACAGAAATTGACCTCTACGTCACAAACATGTTTCATTTCTAATAAAAGGCTCCAGATGTTCATAAACATCTGTTTGCTGGAGTGTGCATGAGCAGGAGAGGCGGGTGTGTTTCTTTGGGACTGTTTGATCTCTTTCGGGGACAACCACTGACGGGTTTGAGCTGTTTCTGGACACACTGAGCTGCTTTTACTGCTTCGAGGTTCACTGTCATGTTTGAGTGGAACATTTGCTTTAGTTGGGACTCGCTGGCACGCCTGATACCTTCATTGTTGGTTTTAGTCCCATTGTTCTGAAGCCTCGTCTTTTTAGAGCCTGAGGCCAGGAGGCAGCAGCCTGTGTGAGCTCTGACTAACAATACAACAGCTCAAATCTTCTCTGACTGACTCAAACTGGTTGTGTTCAGACAACAGGTCACATTCAATGTTTTTACGGTTTGTAGAACTAATTATTACTAAAAGCTCTTTATAAATGCAACTGCAAAGCAGTGTGACTACATTTTATTGCTTCAAAATAATGTTCGTATAATATTCGCGTTTTGGCTGCTGTCACGTTCAAATAAAATTCTGGAATTTCACACAAAAATGGAGCCCAGCTGTCTTTTAGTCCAATTAACCTCACAGCAGTTTATTATTGGTCAGATAATTGTATTAGAAATGCTCCAAAAGGCTCCAACGGCACAAATACAATCCAGAGGTCCAGTTCAGGCTGCCTGCCATAGAACCCACATCGCTAATAATTTAAACTTTAATCCTTTTTTAAGCCTAACCAGTTTAAACAGGTGCGGTACAAAAATAGTAGACCCCCCCATAGATGAAGCAATAAACATCCAGTGCATTTACAAGCAGAATTAAATGAAACCTAATTAAAAAGTAGAGGACCAATAACAGAGCCCTGTGGAACCCCACCACCTGTGAGAAAACACTCTGATGTCAGCTCTGGTTTCTGTAACGCACATTTATCTGAGCTTTTTACTGCATTCAGAAAACAGTTGTTTGGATGTAAAACGCTTCAGGTCATACCTTCAGAGGCTTATTATACACGTGTAATCATGTTCTTTTTACTTAAACACCCTGCTGTTCTCTGCACTCTATGATTACACCTGGTCTATTGTTGATATAGGCCTGACTCATTAAACCACAACACGTCGCTCTGTGTGTAACTGAATCTTGTTATTTTTTATATCAGGTTGTAAACATGCTGTAGAGTTGAAATTTTAACATGGAAGTCTATGAGCACTGGCATGCTGCTGGAGCCCCTAGTGGACAATAGAGGAAGTGCGGTTTTTGTAGCGCTTCTGGAGATCTGATGTGTGTGCACATGTGGGTTCAGGCTAATGGTGAAGGTGGACAATCCCATATGTGTGTGTGTTTTTAGAGGTGAATGCTAATTCTAAGCCTTTGTCTCCAGCCTGTCCGTCCGGTCATTTTAAAGCCGAGTCAGGACCTGTTGGCTGCAGCTCCTGTCCAGCCAATAGCAACACAAGAATCCCAGGCTCCGCCTACTGCCCGTGTCACTCTGGTTTCTATCGAGCCGACTCGGACCCGCCGCACAGTGCCTGCACACGTAAGTCCCTCTGCTTTTCATTTAATTTTCTTTATTATTGTAATTTCTGACAACACTGAAACCTCTTGTCCTACATTTCCCATCATGCAGCTGGAGAGTGTCTTTCACTAGGACCTCGCCTCTAGTCTCCACAGACTGACGTGATGTAATTTGTTATTAAATAATCTGGAGACCACTTTAAACTCTGTGTAAACTCTGGACCACAAACACACACACACACACACACGCACACACACACACACACACACACACACACAGGGCTCTTTGCCAACAAGCCTCCACGCCTCTTTAAGTACCCCGACCCACCCCTTTAACTACATCCCCTCAGGCAACAGCAATTAGGCAAATTAATAGGCTCATTACCTCTTTGTGCTTGTGTCCGTGTGTGTGTAATGTCGAGGTCTTACAGGTAACGACTGCGCACACACACAGGTCTCAGGTTACTCTGATGTTTGTGTGGAGGCAGGAAGTTCTTATCTCTCAGCTCCTCCATCAGTCTGCAGACAAAGAAGAAAAACTCATTACGCAGGAATGAAAACAGGCCGCCTGACTCTCAGGTATCAGCCTGCCTGAGAGTTGCTGCTCAGGGAAAAAAACGTAGATGATGTTGAGCGTCTGACAGGTGATACTCAGCAGGCACTGACCTGTGACCTTTGACCTCCGCAGAGCCTCCCTCGGCTCCTCGCTCCCCGGTGAGTCAGCTCAATGACACCATGGTGACTTTGGAGTGGAGCGAGCCACTGGACCGCGGAGGACGACATGACCTGACCTACAGAGTCCTGTGCTCCACCTGCGGGCCCGCCACTGCCACCAAGGTACGCCACCGCCATCTCTGTCACCATTAGCACCAGTCTGAGCTGTCAGATCTGACCCCGCCCCTTTTCTTCTTTCTCCTCTTCAGGTCACTTCCTGCTTCCCATGTGGCGACAGCGTTCTTTACCGGCCGGCGCAGAACGGCCTGACCCAGCGGCGTGTCGTCGTCTGGGGGCTCCGCCCACAAACAAAGTACATCTTCACCATCCAGTCGCTAAATGGCGTGTCTGCACTCAGCCACTCAGAGCCAGCCTCCAGCAAGCTCAACATCACCACCAGTAGAGATGGTACAGATACACACTACATTACCCAGAATTCTTTCGTGCACACAAACGTAATGATCAGTGAATGATGGTCTGTGTTTCTGTAGTTCCTCCTCCAGTATCTGGTCTGAGGAGGGTGGAGGCCTCAGAGAGCAGTCTATCTTTAGAGTGGAGCGTTCCAGTTGTGCACAACCAGTACAAGATCCTGGACTACGAGCTGCGCTACAGCCCTGAGGTATACACACATGCGTGCATCACTAGGACCTCTATGCTAAGTTAACCCTGAAGTAGGGCTGCTCAATTAATCGAATTTTAATCACGATTACGATCGGGGCTTTCAACGATCATTAAAAATGACGGAGCCGATTATTAGCCCCTCCCTCGTGCTTTACTCTTGCGCTGCTCCGTGTGGCAAATCGAGCGCACCTCTCTGCATTTCGAACACGCGTCACAACAATTAAGAGGACCCGAGGGAAGCTCGGAAAGCTAAGCAGAAGTTATTTGGAGAGGAGAGTGACTGCCGTTGGTTGAAAAGAGAGGTAAAAAAAACCAAACTTCAGTGGTGTGGAAACATTATGGGTTCACGGAGTCAGACGTGGATCAAGTAGACATAGTGTGTAAACTTTGCTACAGTGTCGTAGCTGCACCACAGAGCTACACTGCAAAGTTCACTAAACATAGATGTTTACATTTTTCATTTATTTCTTATATCGCAAACATTTGCACTGTTATCAGTATTTGGACACTATTTTATATTATTTTTAAAAGTCATTATTCAATACATTGTTATTGTTAACCCTTTAAATCCCTGTAGAACCGGAACCGCGTAAGCTAGCGCAATAATTAGTTTTGCATATGAAACCGGAGGAGTTGTACTTACATTTTATGCCATCAGCTTGTCCTAGGTCACGGTTTCCTTCCACATATAGCTTTGCAAAAATTGCATAAAAAGCGCTTGCAGGAACAAAAACATAATATTCCAGAAACACGCTTTGCCGATCCGATCAGCTGTTTGTAACACTTCCTACGTCCATCAGCACGAACTGTCCGCCATGACCTGCCTGAAACAGGAAGTGACGTCATTTTCGCGGAAAATGTAGTTTTTTACTTGTAGGCCTTAAAAGCCTATACTGGTGTTTTTATAAGTCATGTTTGACTTTTCTGAATAGTTTCTGAGATGCTTAGAACTCAAATTGCACTGCTGGAAATAGTTTATTTTGATGCACCTGCTGTTTTCTTTGCAAATTTGCATCATAGGATTGTTTTTTGTTTTTCCTGCAGTATATAAAAATTGATGTATCTCCAAAATAAAACTATGAAGACACTCAAAATAAATTTCCTGTTGTTGTAAACTATTCTTTGCAACTTTTTTGTATTTAAAGTTTTGAGGGATAAACCTCTTAAATTTCTCCAAGTAGAAATATATGTAAAAAAACAAAAACAATTTTTAATTTTTTTGTAGTTTATTGCACTTTTTCGCAATTAATGTAGTTACTATGGACTTAATGCATACATATTATTAAAATATGGGCTATAACAGTTGTATTGATGTATAGCAACAAAAATGCTCCCACTAATGGCACTACAACATGTAAAAAAATAATATAAGCTCTGGCGGACTTGGTTCTATGGTAGGTCTTAAAGGGTTAAATCTCGTCAAATAATCGAGATCTCCATTTCAGTGAAAATAATCGTGATTATCATTTTTGCCATAATCAAGCAGCCCTACCCTGAAGTTAACCTGGGCCCTGAGTCCATGTGAACTTCAAACCGAAGCCTTTTTTACGTTCTGTCTTTTAGTGTGTGTTTATAAAATATATCTAAAATTCCAAGAGCGTACTTCTTTGTAAAACATTCCATCTGGTTTTAGCAGGATCATCTTTGTAGAACAGGGTTTGGTTCTGTGCTGGAGCGAATGTATGTCTGCATATGTTAACTCTCTCTCTCACACACACACACACACACACACACACACACACACACACACACACACACACACACACACACACAGATTATAAGCGCAGATTAGATACGTTGTTTTGTCCTGTGAGGACCTTTGTTAATGCGTGTCACTAGGACTCCTGCGTTACTCTAATGCCTACTCTTAACGTGTCCTTATCAGGATGGTGAGGAGTCGGTAGAGTGGCAGTACGTGTTCAGCAGGTCTTCTTCTCTGGTGCTAAACGGGCTGCAGCGGGCGACGAGATACCGGGTGCAGGTCCGCGCTCGCTCTCAGGCCGGTTACGGCTCATTCGGTGCCGAGACCGGCTTCAACACGCTGCCTGACGGTACGAGGTCGCATGCTATTACATTTTCTTTAGAGTCTGAGAGGTGAAAACACTGAGATTCACTCCTGTGTGTTTGTTTCCTGGGTAGGTGTGTCCCAGCTGATGGTGACTGGAGTCTCGGCCTCTTTGGGGATACTGGTGCTCGCTGTGGCGGCCATAGTTGGCGTGTTCTGCTACCGGTGAGTGTGTGTGTTCAGGATGCACCCTCCCTGCTCCCCTCTGCAGAACAATAGAACACACTGACCTCAGGTTCACACACACACACACAGAGCAGGGTGGGACATGTCGACTATATTAAGATGGAGAAACTCGACACTGTGAGAGCGATGGCGAGATACGGCGAGATAATCACATTCCTGAGAGAGCGACAGAACAAAGGATGTGTGTGTGTCTCCTGAGGAAACCAGAATCCCGCAGCTGCTCTGAATCTAAACAGCCGTCTGTACCTGTCTGTCTGTCACCAGGAGGAAGAGGAGCGCGCACATCCACGACAAGAGCGGCCACTACCAGATGGGGCAGAGTGAGTCTGACAGCCAATCAGAGACAGAGCTACAACTCAGCCAATGAGCAAGTCTGATACAAACGGTTTTAAATGAACGCGGCCGACTGACGATGATGATTGTGCTGTTTTTGTAGCGATGAAGGTTTACATCGACCCGTTTACCTACGAGGACCCAAATGAGGCCGTGAGGGAGTTCGCCAAAGAGATTGACGCCTCCTTCGTTAAGATCGAAGAGGTCATCGGAGCAGGTAACCCACACCTGTATGTTTGCATGGTGTAAACTTCTGTCACGGGCAAACTCCGCCCTCCAAGCCATAAGTTTTTGATGAAATTCTCATCAATCAGACCATTTCGGGTGTTTTAAAAGAAACTGTGAATGCTCAGAGAATGTTTTTACGACTCCAGGAACCTTTTGAAGGAACGTCTGTGAAGCTAAAGGTTTTAGAGACGTCAGCCTTTTTGGGAATGCCAAAAACCTTTGAATGGTTTCGTGATTATTGTAATAAGTAAATCATTAAAGATTCAGGAACACATTATTAGTGGATATGGTGGCGTATATTTTGGGAATCTTGAGGAATTTCTCTGGGATCTGGAAGCATTTGTGGATGCTGTTCACCTCTGGAGCTTTGTTAGGGAGTCTGCACGGACGCAGCAGCACGACAACAAAAAGCCCAAATATCTTCTGTTGTTTCTGAAAGGCCAAAACAAACTTATGGGTCTTAATAGGACTTTTATTTTGTAAAGTCTTCCAGATGTGTTTGTGACCTTTGACCCCCTCGAGAGCGGAACATTAACTTTCCCATGATGAGGCGAAGCTGTGTTCGCACTAAAAGAAAACATCAGATGTCATTTGTTCTCCGTCATGAACCCTGTTTTATTAAAAGTAAACACGCCACGTGCGCGTTTGTGCGCGAGTGTGTGCGAGGGCGTGAGAGAGCGTGATTGATTGAGTGTGTGTGCAGCTACTGTAACAGTAGTGCTCTCAGTGATGACATTGGTGAGATGTAACTGGATAGCGGTTGCTGCGGAAACAAGGGTGCAAACTTTTCACCGCCGGCTGGCGAGCGCGCTCAGACACACACGCAGGCCACATGTGCGTGAGTGCTGAGGGAGGTGTTGACGTGCTGGTATGCGCTAATGAGCCTTAAAGGAACATTACACCCCTCCAGTATCAATAACACGAGTCCTCTTTATTGAGTAGATATGGGGCTGCGCGGCGTCGAAGGTTCGGCCCTGCTGCGATTGGCTGTTTTCAGGTGACCGTGTGACCTCATTAGTTGCTCTGACACGTGGAGTCCCTCAGGGTTCTGCTGTGGGTCCTCTACTGTTTCCGTCTTCAAAGAACGCAAAGATCTGCCTCCACTTAGGGAAACTTCGTTGCCTCCGGCTGGCGTGGACTCGCTCTGCTCTCACCTTAGACGACGCTCAGCGGCAGGTCTGTGTTTGGATTCTGGGGCTCTGCTGTCAGCCGATCTCTGCACCTCCAGATTTACATCCACCTGAACCTTTTTACACTCACTTTAAGCTCCACCTCCACCCTCTCATTTCCCGTGACCCCGCTCTGTCTGATTGGCCAGCATCCCCTCAAACCTCCTCCAGCTTTTCTTACCTTTGCCTATTAGATAAAATGAGATATGAAGCTGTTGTCTTCTAGCCTACAGGTGGAGGTGAATTTGGCAAGGTGGCTTTTCTTTTCTCATATTAGATATTTCTATGACATTAAGCCTGAAGGAAAACAAACACCTGGGAAAATACACCTGTGGAACGTCAGGTCATTACATTGTTGTTATGACTCGGCTGGATACACCTGGGCAGGAGTATGACTGTTTATTTTTACATTTGCTGTCATAACCATAGCCAATGTTACTACGTAATCTTTCATCACCTGCCCATGTGATTGTTTTTTAACAAAAATAACACCACCTCGGTGTTACCTTCCCATTTCCTGAATCAGGTGAGGACAGGTGCACAGACAGTGTTGTGTTCAGTATATCTGAAATCTTTTCACGTGGCAGTTTTATCATTAATCTGGGGATTAAATTTGAATAAATTATCCCCAGTGAAATACAGGTGTGTTCTTCCATTTGAATTGTAACTATTGTAAAAGTAATGTAACCTGTGCCGTATACCTGTACAGGTGAGTTTGGCGAGGTGTGTCGTGGTCGGCTGAGGATCCCGGGCAGGAAGGAGAACTACGTGGCCATTAAGACCCTGAAGGGTGGCTACACGGAAAAGCAGAGGCGGGACTTCCTGTCGGAGGCGTCCATCATGGGACAGTTCCAGCACCCTAACATCATCCACCTGGAGGGAGTCATCACCACTTCCTGCCCCGTCATGATCCTCACCGAGTTCATGGAGAACGGGGCGCTCGACAGCTTCCTGAGGGTGAGAGGGGGACAGTCACAGAGCAGCAAACCTGTCTGACCTTTTCCCTGTCTGACCCTCTACCTGTCTGACCTTCTACCTGTCTGACCTTTTCCCTGTCTGACCTTTTCCCTGTCTGACCCTCTACCTGTCTGACCCTCTACCTGTCTGACCCTCTACCTGTCTGACCTTTTCCCTGTCTGACCCTCTACCTGTCTGACCCTCTACCTGTATGACCTTTTCCCTGTCTGACCCTCTACCTGGCTGACCCTCTACCTGTATGACCTTCTACCTGTCTGACCCTCTACCTATATGACCTTCTACCTGTATGACCCTCTACCTGGCTGACCCTCTACCTGTCTGACCTTCTCCCTGTCTGACCCTCTACCTGTATGACCCTCTACATGTCTGACCCTCTACCTGTCTGACCTTTTCCCTGTCTGACCCTCTACCTGTATGACCCTCTACCTGTCTGACCCTCTACCTGTATGACCCTCTACCTGTATGACCCTCTACCTGTATGACCTTTTCCCTGTCTGACCCTCTACCTGGCTGACCCTCTACCTGTCTGACCTTTTCCCTGTCTGACCCTCTACCTATATGACCTTCTACCTGGCTGACCCTCTACCTGTCTGACCTTCTACCTGTCTGACCCTCTACCTATATGACCCTCTACCTGTATGACCCCCTACCTGTCTGACCCTCTACCTGTATGACCCTTTCCCTGTCTGACCCTCTACCTGGCTGACCCTCTACCAGTATGACCTTCTACCTGTCTGACCCTCTACCTATGACCTTCTACCTGTATGACCCTCTACCTGTCTGACCCTCTACCTGTCTGACCCTCTACCTGTCTGGCCCTCTACCTGTCTGACCCTCTACCTGTCTGTTTTCAGATGAATGATGGCCAGTTTACCACCATCCAGCTGGTGGGGATGCTGCGCGGCATCGCAGCAGGAATGAAGTATCTGTCTGAAATGAGCTACGTCCATAGAGACCTGGCGGCTCGTAACATCTTGGTGAACTCCAACCTGGTCTGTAAGGTGAGGGTGTGGCCCTGCACACCTGTCCGCTCGACTAATCTAAACAGATCTGACAGTTGTGGTTTTGTGTTTTTCAGGTGTCAGATTTTGGCCTGAGCAGGTTTCTGACTGAAAACTCGTCAGACCCGACGTACACCAGCTCTCTGGTGAGTAACTGTCACAGTCTGTCTCTTTATGATTTCTGATATCCTTATCTCAGACACAAAGGCCACACCCATCTGCTGTAAGGGACAGCCAATCAGGATAAAGTTGGCTTAAAGGAAAGAAGATGAAACGGGCTCTTTGAGACAGAGGATGGACTGGGGGGGCTGGTTTCAGATAAAGGTTTACTTTGAACTGTGAATCATGCAAAGCTGCTCAACTCGCATGTTGTTGCTACAATTTGAGTTTTGTCTCTGGTCATGACAGCTCTTAACAGGAAGTCTTTTATTCATCAGTAGATGATGAATGTTGTCTTTAAGACCTTCATCATCAATCACGTCTGTCTGGTTGGTCTTTCAGCTCTGTTTTGGTTCTGCTGGAGATCCTCAGAGTTCTGGTCTCAGTCCTCTGTTGTTGAGCATTACCTGGGTGCTTTTATTGTGAAATTCGGTTATTACCTGACTGATCCAGTCTTGTTTTTTAGGGCGGCAAGATTCCCATTCGGTGGACGGCTCCTGAAGCCATCGCGTACAGGTGAGTGCCAGTACTGCAGGCTGGCGTAGTGGATAAAGGCTTCCTCTTCTTATTGTTATTATAGTGTTCTGTAGATAATCATTTGATGATTTTACTGTCTGATTGCAGGAAGTTCACTTCAGCCAGCGACACGTGGAGTTACGGGATTGTCATGTGGGAAGTGATGTCATACGGGGAGCGACCGTACTGGGACATGAGCAACCAGGACGTAAGGAACAAAGTTATACATTTAAAACTTGATTGTTTGGAGGTTCATGGACGTGAAACTACGACTGAATCATTAGTGCTCATTTACAATAAAAGAAGCTGAAATTATTCCAGCAAAGGTGTCCAAAGCTTATGGTTAAAAAAGCCGTTTCATCAGAATGACAGAGTGCTCACTGCCTCTCACGCTTCTGCTTCATCAGGTGATAAACGCCATCGAGCAGGACTACAGGCTTCCCCCGCCGCCGGAGTGCCCCGCCTCCCTGCACGCGCTCATGCTGGACTGCTGGCAGAAGGAGCGAGCCAACCGGCCGAGGTTCTGCGACGTGGTGGCGTCCCTCGACAGGCTGATCCGAAACCCCACCTCCCTGAAAGTGACGCACCCAGAGGCACAGAGGTGAGGCTCGATGAAGGAGAGGGGGAGGGGGCCGGAGCCGTGGAATGTCATTCAGGCACCAGCTGGTGGGTTCGGGGTCAAAGGTCAGAGTGTGGTAGGGAGACAAAGGAATGTGGGGCAGCCAGCTGTGTGATTGACAGCTGTTTACACAAGCAGGTGCACATTCCTGGATTAAAACTCCAAATGAAGCCGTGTCCTCCCGACTGTCCACCTCCTCTTTCAGTGAAGGAACATCAGAGACACGAGGAGGAGGAGGAGGATGGAGATCAGTGTCAGATAAGAATGAGATTGTTTTAACGGCGAGAGCAGAGGCGGCGTGCATGTTTGTGCTTTCTGAGAGGAATAAAGTTCCTGTAGTTTGTTAGCAGCAGATAGTAAAGCAGTACCACGGGTGGAGCAGCCGCTCCTCGTTCTGCTCCGCAGCCTCGGGGAGCTCACTGTGGGCCTTTCAGGTTCTGGTTAAACTGTGCAGACCAAACAGGAAGTTAAATTTCAGCTCGCCTTATGTGCATGAGTTCAGTTGCTGGGTATTTTGGAAATTCACAAATATTTGCCAAAGGGCGGAGGAGGAGTAAAGTGACGGGAGAATCTCAGTGCGAGGCTTCTGTGACACAGCGCGAAACTATTTTTTCTCTCTTTGCCAAAGTGGACATATTTTCACTTGCACGAACACGTATGTGGCACTGTTGCCTGGCACGGATTTCAGGTTGTTTTGAACACACCGTGACAGCAACCCTCCATAGCAGGATGAGGACCTCCACCTGAGTCCAAGAGGTGGAGGTGGTCCATCCACCACAGCAGCTGGCCAATCTGCCGAGAGAAATCGGAAAACAGGAAACCTCTGGGATCAGTGGTTAGCAAGGACTGAACTTTCAAAATAAAAGCAGGACAAGTCTCCTGTATAATAAGTTGAAGCAGTGATGCAACACTGTAAAGAAAATAATTTAATACCATAAAACCATCAGACTGGGTGTGACGGTGTGGTGGAAACCAGCAGGGATGATTTTATCCTGCTGTGTGACACGATCCTTCCTGATGTTCAAAGTAAAGTCATGTGCTTGGATACAACATGGTAACATTTCTGTCACATGAACACAAACGTTTTCACATGACTCCGGTCTGTCTTCTCCATCATCATTAAGTATGGGTGCCTTATAAAAGCAGACGTTTCAGCCGTTTGTTGGTCTGAAGCTTTCAGATGCAATTTCCAAACAATTCAACATAATCATCACAGCAAATTAATCTCAGACTCTGCAGTTAGATCAGGACTGAAAGTGTGAGGCTTGTTTGGAAGAGCTGACAGGAGAGAATAGGCAGGTTTGGAAACTATCTGAGAAAACTCACAAGACAACGTCCCAGCCTGGAAGTGTAAAATACACCATCATGGTCGGAGAAAACCAAGTTGACCATGAGCTCCTATTCTGGAGTCTGTCTGACAGCCAAAGCTGGGCCATGAACGGGATAATGATCCCAATCACAGCAGCTCCTGGGAAAACTTTCTTCTTTACACCAAATTACACGTCTTTGATTTTAAGACTGAAAAAGGGGTTAAAATGTAAACCTTAGCAGCTATATTTAAGACCTACATGTCATTTTAAGGGTTTCGTGGCTTGAAGCCAGCACGCTCTGCTTATTTTAACCTCAACCATAACAGAGCAGGAGAATAAATCTCGCGCTCACATATTCATGCCACATATTTTATAGGCTGCAGGTCTGAACACGCTGCTCTAATAATGACTCGCTGAGGAATGTCATCGTTCACATCTGCCCTGTCCTTTCAGCCTGTCCCATCCTCTGTTGGACCAGCGAGTCCCGCCTCCTCTGTCGGCATGCGGTTCGGTCTCCGAGTGGCTCCGAGCCATAAAGATGGAGCGCTACGAGCAGAGCTTCCTGCAGGCCGGATTCACCAACCTGGACATCGTCTCGCAGCTCAACACTGAGTAAGACACTTATTCTTTCTGTGATTGGCTACCTGCCAGTCATCACTCAGGGAAACCAAGCTCTATATTTGTATTTATTTATTTGCATCTCTTTCTGTTTCCATAGAGACCTCCTCAGAGTGGGCGTGACCCTCGCAGGGCACCAGAAGAAGATACTCTCCTCCATCCAGACGCTCAGGATACACAAAGCTCCACCCACCATGCTCTACTGACCAATCGCAGCCTGGTCACAGCACAACACTCAAAATGACCCTGACGCTGTCCACCGTTGTACCCGATCCAGCCAATGGGAACGCTTTACAGCCTGAAACACTAACTGATGCAGTTTCAACCAATCAGAACGAAGGAATGAGATGACTATTCTTTGACGGGCTGGTTGAACCTCAGGATTTCTATTGGCTCGTCTCGCTGAACCACATCCCGAGGTTGCTTGTTTTTTTAAATCCACTCTGAACAGCAGAGCTCACAGAAATCAGCCAATCAGCATCCAGCACAGAAAAGATGTTGGAAGACTTTGGAAACTATTCCTTATGTGGACTCTTCTGATTGGATGTTCCTCCACTGTAAAGACTAAGCTCCGCCCCTTGCTGGGAGCATAGCTTTCCCAGCCTGTTTGATGGCTGGATTTCCAGGGCAGGAGGCTTTTCCACTGAAGAAACACCAAGAAAGAAAAATTACAGGCAGAAAATGACTAAATTCTGCTGGAAACACAAGCAGGATACTTTGGTTTGTACTTCCTGTAGAAGAAACAAACCCTTTGCAGGATGCTGCCACTGTGACCGCACAGACCTCAGAGCCTTTTAAAATGAGCCGAACGGGTTTTACGGTGACGTGGACGGTGTTTGAGTTTCTTCAAGCAGGAATCTGAACACACGTCTTTCTGAATGACATCTTGGGAATGTGGGACATGCGGGAATTCCAACGCACCGGTCGGTAATCTCCCTCTCAGTGGGATTATTTCCACACCAGTGTTCAGGACCATCTGAAGGGATTCGTGATGTGACCTGTCAGCATGTTCTAGCAAAGTTTCAGCATCATACTGTTTGTAATCTGTGAGGAATATTCTGGGTTGCCTCAGAAAACACCAGTGTACTTTTCGAGGAAGTCTTTGGGAATGTTCGCTCCCTGCTCAGACCAGAACTTCTCCAAATGTGACTCATCGGGTGCTGAAATTCTCTGGATTAAGGGAAGTCATGTGGGAGTATTTAACTGTACACACGGTAGTTTTCTCAATCAGACTGAAAGTTTTTTAAATTGTTCGGTGCCTACAAACGATCAAAGCCCACCTGTAGTGGGTTTCTGTGTTGTGAACGTACTCAAGTGTATTTTGTCCTCCAGCTGTAAGGCATCCATCATCTACATGATCTCCCCTTTATAGACTCAGCTCCCTGTGGCCTAAACGTATGTGACTGTCATTTATCAGCCTTTCACGTGTTGGGATGAAGCCACTGCAGGTTTAATGTTTTAAGACCATTTTCCACAGGAAGTGAAAAGCCATTCAAAGCTTCAGTGTTGGACACGAGGACTACGTTTGAGGACTACAGCAGACATCTTTTTGTTTAATCGTGAACTATTGATGGTTTTGTATCGTAGCACTTTTTTTTTTGTACCTGATATTTGATCGTATTTTTACACAAAGCAGGAGATCAGAGTTTTTATAGTAAACCTACATTTCAGGCGAAACGTCGTCTTCACTTTCTGAAGAGAAACGTATAAAAGCAATCTGCCTTAGCTTTCACGGAGGCGAGTGAGACGATCCAGGTTCAGGACCAAAGATCACATCTGCCCACTGGAGCGAGACTGTGCGTCTGCCTCGCTACATAAATGTTTAACGGCGGCCCACAAACCAGCTCTTCCACTTTTACAACACTAACATTAACCATCAGGCCAACATTTGGCAGTTTGCCTCTTCAGTCTCTTCTGTTCTCCGGCCAAACACTCATTAATGTGAGGAGCAGTGTTTGTTAGCGATGCTTCACAGACAGGAAATACCTGAACGCCGCCATCACCTTCCTCACAGAGCCACCATCGTGGTCATCGTCTCAGGTGTAACTCCAGCAGACGATGATCAGCCAGTTAAAACCACCGAACTAATCATGTGACCTGGAGGAGATTGTCCACTGCAGTGTTTCTGCAGAGGTTTGCATGCATGCAAAGGAGCTGTTGGGTAACAGAATATAACAGGTGTTCTCCTACATTTTAAACGTCACGATAAGTCTTGTATCCTGTTGTTGCAGAGCAGTAACCTGGTAGGAACAGACGAGACTGAAAAGGCCTCTGAGATCAGAGCTGACTGAAATATAGAACAAAAAGAAGGGATTGTTGGCTGTAGATCAGGGGTGGCCAACTCCAGGCCTCGAGGGCCGGTGTCCTGCAGGGTTTAGACCTCACCTTGGGTCAACACCCCTGAATCACATGATTAGTTCGTTACCAGGCCTCTGGAGAACTTCAGGACATGCTGAGGAGCTAATTTAGCCATTAAAATCAGACACATCTAAAACCTGCAGGGAGGCCTGGAGTTCCCCGCCCCTGCTGTAGATCCTTCGGTTATAGGGTGGGACTTTTGGATGGATGAAAACATGAAACTGCCAAAAGGAGCTGCCGACATACTTTGGTGGGCCTCCAGCTGGAGGCTGAAACATCCAGTAAACCTTCTGTCATCCGAGTTCTGATCATCAGGACTGAATCACCATGAAAAGTCTGAGTAATCCACTTCTAATGGTATTTTTACTGAATCGCATAAACTGGTTCATTGGTCCATTACCTGCCAGTCAAAGCACTAACGAGCCAATAACAGCTCCTCTTTGTCATGCCTCCTTTCTGTAAGTCACAGTGTTGCATGATGGGAGTTTGAGTCAGTGGCAGTCCACCATCGATCCACTTTCATTGGACAGACAAATGTAAACACTTTGTTTTGGGAAACAAATTTTATTTAAATGCGTAATTTTGAATGTTGTGAACTCAGCTCTGCCTTTTATACGTCCACACTAATGTATGAGAATATTTTTATTGTTAATAATGTTGTCATAAAGAAGGATGTCCACTGGGCGAGGGAAAACTCCAATAAAGATGCCCGACGACACGTCTGCTGCCTGTCTGTCTGCTTTACGTTAAAACCGGGAGAAAACTTTTACTGTGCCAAACGGTTCCAGTTATTTATGAAGTAAAACCAAACTCAGGCGCCTCTTTGTAGCCGTGTTACGTCTGAGTCACCGTCAGTGACAAATACGTTAGCGCGCAGATATCAGAGGACGGGTTGTTTTGAGCTCGCAGAGGTCGGGAAGGAAACGTGGTTTGGCCTGATTTAAGCTCCAGATGAGACGGGATAGATCGACTCCAGGCTCAGCAGGTTAAACCCCCAATGGGAGCGTAAGAACACGGCGCTCGGCAGATCAAACCCAAAGGTGGGCCAGCTTTAAGACGAGCTACAGGTTAAGGTTAGGTATGAATCGTTGTAATTGTGAGTTTAGAGCATCTGAGTCAGAGGGCTGGGTTTGGATTAGAGCGGGTTTATCCCGTTAGAAGACGGGATTTTGGTTTTTGAATGTTGTTCTTTCAAGTCACGCAACCAGGTAACAAGGAGATCATTCTGTAGAGTGTAGATAATAATAAAGGGAATCTAACCCTGTGATTGGGTAGTTTTAGGTACTCCGCAGTAAGCTCGGCTTCACTTCTCTGCAGACAAAATTGGTACTTGGTACTTCATGGTTAACAGACTCTTGCAGTTCATGGTTACATTCTGCCATCGGCTTCATCCTGCTGGGTCATATCACACGTCCCAGCATCTGGTTTACCTGATCTAACAGGAACTGATGCAGTCGTCTTAGGAACGTTTCACACACAGGATCGTTTTAACGATTTTGATATCGATCACTTCTAAGGCCGCTCGTGGCCTCACTCTGAGCTGCAGCTCTGACCTCTCAGTAAGAGCACATACCTTTAAATCCTCGGGCAGATGTCTTCAGCCTGTTTTGGGGCGCGGCTGAAGACCAGGGGCCGAGGCTCTGGAACAATCTGCCCGAGGTGAACGTTTATGAGAGAGCCTTTCCCCGTTTCACTCGAGATTTCATTTCCTTTCAACTACATTTTATTTCCTGCAGAATTTCTTTTACGATCTTTGTGCACATTTAGCTTTCTGACTCTGTCACATCATTATATCACAATATGTGGATCTAAAAAAAGAACAAAGACACTTAGATTAAATATATGACGACGCCTCAGAACAGTGATGTGAATATTTAATGAAACCAGGTTCAATTAATCTGATTTTAATCAGAAAAGATTTCCAAACAGCCTGATGATGTCATGTTTCCCCGACTGATCTGCAGAACAAAACACAATGAGAAAGAAAACAAGGCGTTATCTGTGAAACAAGCTGTAATTAAACCTCGAACAGAGAAGGCGTGTAAATGTGACGGGTGTAAAACTGTCTCAGGTTCATTACGAGGAACGAGAACAACATCTGTCCTGCTGTCATCTTCTGATGATGTACAACAGCTCTCGGTTTTAGTCGTTGAGCCGCAATTTGTGAACTCTTCAGAAACGCCGACCTTTGACCCCGAGCTCTCTCCAGGTCCGTGTTACGGCTGCAGATAACGGCCTGTGTGTGGCGTGTGTGCAAATCATAGGAAACTTAAAACAGTCTCCTCGTTTCCTCTGACGGTGATGGTTTGAGCTCAGAGCACAAAAGAGTTTCATTTAACTTCAGATTGCCTTCAGTGTGACCTTTGACCCTCAAGAGACAAACAGACCACCAGCACTGAGTGTTTCTTATCAGGGCTGAGATGATGGAGGGATGGGCGGCTGACAGACAGAAGGCAGACCCGATGGAGGTCCGAGACATCGTCGTGTCTGCTGACGGTGCGTTTCATTTATAACAGCGTCGGGCAGGCGAGAGGTCGGGGTTCACTCAGAAGGTTTGTGTTTGTTTTAAAGATTAACTTCAGGCCTAATTCACAGTTACTGACAGAGATGAGCAGGGAGGGAAGAGACTCCTGAAAAAGTGTTTTTCTGTGTCTGTCATGCTCAGGTCACTGCCACAGACCCACCAGCTTCTTCTAGAGCGAATCTTCAGATCAAAGTCTCCAGAAGAACTGTGGGAGCAGCAGAGCTTCTCAGAGCCGCTTCCTCCTGCTCCTCTGGGAGACAAAGACACAAAACCAGCTGACATCCCAAAAACCCTCCCTGAGGAGGCATCCACAGATAATGCACCACCTCAACTGCTCCCCTCCCCTTCCAGGCGCTTTTTATTGTAATTTAAAGACCCTCCAACAGTTTATGAGCAAGCATTCGGCGACAGTAGGAAGGACGAAACCTCCATCGGGGCCAGGATCGGGAGCTGTGACTGGTTGCGGGTGAGGGAGGGAGACAGGAGCCTCCCTCTAAGCCTGAGAGAAGTTTCTGATGTTTGTACCAGGAAACTGGAAACGGTTCAAACAGCAGGCGTCTGTCTTCTCCACTTCTGACCACTATTTCAGGATCCCTCCGTTTTCTGTGGTTGAATTTGAAGCTACTTCCTGTCTTTCTGCTTTTCCAGTTTGTCGTGCACGTTAAAGGCAGTCGTAAAAAGCACTTCCAAAAGCTTCAGCCCTGCAGTCTGAATGAGCCTGACGTGACTCGATTGATGCTGTGATGATGTGCTGAATGCGAAACAGACTGTCTGAACCAGGAGAACAGAGGCGCGTCGCAAACAGGAAACATACGTTTGAATGCTGAATGTTGCAGCCGAAGCCTCATAGTTGCAGAGAGCAGAAGGCCCTGTGTTTACTATAAGCTTACAGACTTTCCCTTTGAGCGCCTGAAATGTGAGAGCGTAAATGCATCCTGGGCTTGTTCCCCTCAGATGAGTCCAGCATGTGCTCCACTTTCAGCTAACAGATGTGAAAATTGCAGCCGAGCGACTCGGCAGCTGTCACTGATCATAATTAGCTTCTGAAATCTCCATTCACCGCTCAGCGCTCGCTCTGTGACGTCTCCCCGAGTTCCCTGAACCTCAGCAACTCCAAAGTAAGGAGCCGCGTTCCTCCAGGCAGGTAAGAGCACGCCGCTCCAGGCCGGCAGGTGTTCCACTTTAACGCCAACAAACACGCAGCGACGGCCACATGTGGGAGGTCAGAGGTCAGAGCAGCTCGAGTAGGAGCATGTGGTTCGAGTGACTGACAGTCGGCGAAACTCGAGCCTGAACAAACACTCGACAGTCTCGGGCTCTGAGAGCAAAGGCAGGGCGTTTTCTGCGACCCTTCACCTTCATTCATGTCGTTTGTGGCTCCGCGTACTTCACACATTCTCACTGATCACCATGACGATGGAGAGTCCAGTCGTTCCCGTTTCCGGGTCCAGCTTGCGTCCCGCCATCATGCGACTAATAAACCTGAAAAGCTGGCAGATGTTCCACCAGCTGTTTGTTTTGCAGTTGCTTTTGGATAAACTCGCTTTAAATGCGGTGCTGCCCTCAAACTGAGCATGAGCAGGACTCTTCAGTAAATCAGTTTCAGGATTTGATAACTGATATGTTACCTTTGGGGGTTTCTATTAAAAACAGGCTCCAAGCTTTTCTGGGGACTGTGATTTAAATCTTCCCCCATAAAGACAACATTTGACGACCTCCTCCGAACCCTTAATGACGAGTGCCGTGGTATATATCAATAAAGTTGTGGTTAGACAACTATTAGGATGGTTTCTGGGTTTTTCCAAGAGTTGCTGCACAGGCAGAGACCACCCTCACTAACTGGATGTCATCTTGTTCTACAAGCTGAAACATAGAAACAGCTCAGTTCAGAAACGAGCTTCACGTTGTCTCCTAGCAGGCCTTTCAGACGTAAAGACACTTTAAAGTAGCAGCGTCTGTGCAGGCAGGCGGCGTGGATAAGCCCTGTAATACTTCCTGTTTCCTGCTTCGGGACTAGCTCAGGTCCAGGTGTCTAACTCTGTAATCTTTATATAACTTGTTACGCATGTCCAGATACAAGCGGCTCATATTAGTTTCCTCCTTGGCTGAATTCAGGCTCAGACATCCAGCGGCTGCAGTAGAGCTGCTGAGGTGGTTTGAGCACCTGAACGCCTCCCTTTGAAGGTTTCTGGGCAAGCCCAGCTGGGAGGAGATCCCATGACAGCGCCATAACTTTTTGGAGAGTATTTAAATATTTCCCTGTCCCTGGCAGATTAAACATCGCTGAGGAAAAGGGCGTCTGGATTACACTGATCAAACTGCTGCCACCGTAGCCGAGCTTCAGACCAGTGGAGGAAAAAGGATGGATGTTACTTAATCGCAGGACATTTGCGTTTTTTATTGAAACCGCATGAAGTTCTTCCAAAACTCCTTCAGCGGTGCCAAGAAATCGTAGATCCTCCCAAAGAACCACCGAAACCTCTGAAACCTCAACTACAGCTGTGAGAGCTTAGAGGAAGACCTCT